TTGGAAAGCCAAAACTCTAGCGGGTCCACCAGACCCATGAACACTGGCTGAGTAACAAAAATACGAACACCACACAAGGGTTAAGTAGACAGCCATGGTTTTCTACCTAAGATAGCCAGAGGGCAGTGCTTTGCTATCCAGAAGGAGGTCATAGCCCTGCTGGTTGCCACTCCCTGCTCCTTCATTACCTTTACCAAAAGTAGAGAGGTTAGGACGTGCTGCATTTCTATGGCATTTCAGATCCATCCCCCAGCAGTTTAGTCACTCGGTACTGGTACATCACTTGCGTTATCCTCCCGTTCCTGGATTGTCAGTTAAATATATAATTGCCTGCAACATCCAATTGGAACAATATTTCACTTCACAAAAATCTCAAAAATATATTTGAAAATACTAAATAAAACAGAAAATAAAGCATATAGGGGGTAAAGGGGATCAAAACTATAAAATTCAAATCGAAATTTCTCATGTTTTTGGTGCATTACATTTGGGATGGGTAATAACTTATTGAAGATCATTAGACATAATTTTGTGAGTTCTCTGGCTAGTAAGTATCAACATGATTTTTTTAGAGAAAATGTTTTCAAGTTTGTGTCTGTAAAGAATAAATTATGTGACAACTAAAGGGCTTCACATAAAAAAGACACAACAAAACCATTTCAAAAATATAAGAACGTTTTACTTTCATGTTTTCCAGATTAAGGAAATGATGGCACGAGCGGGGAACAGTCATCTGCTCACTGTCCTGTCATACCCAAATGCAGGTCACTTGATCGAACCGCCCTACACACCACATGCCAGATCTAGCACCTTCAAAACTGTTGAAATAGAAGAGAAGGGTAGGTTCACTTTCACACTGCAAGGTTGTAGACTGTCTCAGTTGTTCTTTGAGGACCAGAGGGGTCCACATTTTGGCATGTTTGAGAAATGAATGTTATTTAACGTTGATGTTCAGGTAATTTTGTGGCAAGAAAATGATTGTGAAAAAAACTCTGGACTACACATGCAAATTATCAGTAAATTTCTTGCGGTACCAGTTTTGGTAACAGCAGTTTTTTGGGGAGTCCTGATGTCTGTTTTGTTTTTGCAGTGATGTGTCTGTGGGGTGGACAAACGGTGGAACATTCTCGAGCTCAGGAGGATGCCTGGAAAAAGATGGTGGTTTTTCTCAGAGAGAATCTGTATGGTGGCAGAAAGCCTACCTCATTTTCTCACCTGTAGTCAAGATGATGACATGAGTTCCAAAGTCAATCCAAGATGAAAATATTTGGCTAAAGACATAGTTAGGTGAGACGACAATGGAAGCTCTTCTGTGGCAATCAGTATATAATGCATTGCTATGAAGATATTGATTATGACCTTTGGATTCAGTTTCAATATTACTTATTAAAAATGTCTTCTTAATAGAAATAGTTAACGGGTGTAATGGCTTTTGTAGTAGGAAGCTGCCACTTCATATGATCATTAAATCATAAACTACTTTTACAGAAAGACAAGCAGAGACAATTGTTCCCCCACCAAATACTCACACAAACCAAAATATCTTCCTGCACTATACCGATTTAACAGGATAAACTGGATAAGGTGCACTGCTTTTTGACTGATGAATTCTAAAATGTTTTTACTACTATAATTAAATAAATATCTAATATATTACAAAAAATTATTAGTGAAAATGACAAGTGGTGAAGAAATTTTTCAAACCATTCCTTTAGGAAAAGAAGCAATAAAATACTGAAAGCACATCAGTACACATAAAAATGTACTACTGAAAACTGTGCATTCAGACTGACTATAAGTTTAATTTCCAGCATCAAATTCTATACATCATGTCTGCAGTAGTTGTCCTTTGGGGATCTCTGGAAAAAAGTTGTTTGTGAAAAATAAATATGTTGGCCTGTGTTTGTAAAGTGTATTAAAATGTTAATAACAAATAAAGGCTAAATTAAAAGGTTTGATCATTACATGACATGGTTAACTGTCAATATCTATAGGGACAATTAAAATATGAATGAATGTAGAGTGTAACAAAGTACAAATACACCGTTACTATATTTAAGTAGTTCATAGTTCATCAAGTTCAAGTTCATCAAGTTCATCAAATTTTATTCACCACATGCAGTGGCAGGTTGCCCTGCAGTGAAATGAACCCGCCCCCCGACCTTACACACACAACACAGACATCACATGGGGACACAAGTCAGAGAACGGTTGCATTACAGAAAAACCACTGAAATGTACACTACAATGGGAAAAGTACAAGAGGAAAAAAAGAGACCTCTACTCATGCTGGGCTATATGAGGACAGGATGCGAACAGGCTCCTAAAAAACTCCTCTGCACAGAAAGCACATAAATGTCCACAGTACAACATTATAGAGCACGTGACCAGCAACGGGGTTGGGTAGGGGATAAGGAGTAATCCCAGGCAACACAGCAGGCATCCTGCCACTGCGCCGACTCTCCAGCAAACTCTCCCCTCCTCGATTCAGAGATGGTCTTTCCCTTTTCACGTAAATGGCCTCCTTGACTCCGCGCTCAAACCAGCGTTCCTCCCTGTCCAAGATGTGTACATCCTCATCATTGAAAGAGTGTCCACGGGCCTGTAGGTGTGAATAGACTGCAGAGTCCTGGCCTGACGAGGTAGCTCTTCTGTGTTGTGCCATCCGCTTTGCCAGAGGTTGTTTTGTTTCCCCGATGTATAAATCCTGACAATCCTCCTGGCATTTAACAGCGTAAACTATGTTACTCTGTTTGTGTCGGGGGACCCGATCCTTGGGGTGGACCAATTTTTGGCGCAGTGTGTTTTGGGGTTTAAAAGCCATAGATACAGGGCGTTTAGAAAACAACTGCTCCGATACTCCTGACACACATGGGATCACTACAGGTTTTTGCTTAGGCAGCGGTTGTCCTTTTCTCCTGGATCGGCTGGAGCTTTCTTTTGGTGCCTTCCCAGCTTTGACAAAAGTCCAGCTGGAATAACCACATTTACTCTTCTTGAGGTGCTGTTCTTCTGCTTGCCTGGCCGCTGTGTCTGTGGGGATGGTGTTCACTCACACGATTTGATATCCTCGTGTCGGTGTTGTTCCCACATCATCATAATAAATGTTGGTTCAAGGTTCTACATTGCAAGTGACCAATCAAATTGTTGTGACGTCATACTTTTGCGACTTTGGAAAAAACCGCCTTAAAAAAGATCTACTTAACTTGCGAGAAACCGCCTCTGTCTGCCAATCCAGCACCGACACGAGGATATCAAATCATTCCTTTTGCACACACGGCCATGTAGGTTTGGATTTTTTCCCCAATTAATAATAAACACCTTCATTTAGAAACTGCATTTTGTGTTTACTTGTGTTAGCTTTGTCTAATATTTAAATTTGTTTCATGATTGGAAACACTGTAGGAGCAAAACAAGAGCAAAAACTATTGGTCTTGTTTTCAGCAAATGATTGGCATCATCATGTATTACTTTTTGTCCTGGCAGGCAAAATGAATTGTGGCGCACAGAGTTATATTTTATGTCCAGCTAGTTTTGTTGCAGGTAGATTACAACCAAATTCTATACACCATTATGATCATAAAAAACAAGATGCAGGTGATCATAACAAAAACCTTCCTAAGAGGCTTTTTAGTTATAGTGTTACTTTTTACTCACTGCATTTCATTTCATTAAGAAATCCAGAGATCTGTGTGTTTGTTTGCAAACAGCTGACATTATGTATGTGTTCTTGTAGCAAATAAACACCTCTCCCCCACAACAAACAGCAAAAAAACCCCAAACAAACAAACTGAAGAGAAAACATAAACAAATGTTGTCCTGCATGGAATAATTAAAAATTGGATTTTGTATGTTTTTGTCTGCATGCATTTTGCATTTCGATGCCTGCAGACACACATTTTTAAAACCAGGTTTTAGGTGCCAAGTTTATAACTGTTTCTGGTGGATGAAATGTTTTTTGTTTGTTTTTTAAATAGCAATACTTAAAAAACAAAAGACAAAACTCCTTTCCTATTTTGAAGTTGTATATATACTTTATCTTCATTTCCATATTTTGTGTTTTGTTCTCTATGAACTCATTTTCTCTTCTCTTTCCACTCAGTCCCAGCCAGTCGGGGCAAATGGCTCCCTCTCTGAGCCTGGTTCTGTTACTTTCTGTTAAGAGGTTCCTTCACACCATCGCCTTCCCACAGTAATAGGATCTAATTGTCTCTTTATCTTCTAGTGTAACGTACCTTAAAGTGACTATTGTGATTTTATTTATTATAGACATAATGAATTGACATCGGAGAACCGGCATCTAGTTGTAACTACGACTTGTGTCCGCTAGGTGGCGTCTTTTCTCCATCTCTGCTGCTTTAACTTCGGAAACCCCTCTACCTGTGCAGTATTCTCTTAGCTTATTAACCTTATGTGTGACAGCACCAGTCGGGCTTCTTTTCTTCTCTTCTATGATGTGACTGACATCATTTCAGTTTGGTCCAGGATCGTGCAGTCCCTGCACAAGTCTGTCACTGGTTCTGTTAGGGGGAGCTTGACATGAAACTCTCATCAGCTTCGTGTGACGAGCACGAGAGCCGCCAGTGTTTTCTGTGACGTAGGCCAGCCGCACACTGCACTTTGGAGAGCTGCGTGAGGCGAAGAAAAGCATGCGCTTCTCTCTTGTGGACGCAACCGGCTGCTCTTATAAGGTCCATTCTCTGAATTGTCGGACACTTTGATATGAGACCAATCAGGACTGGAGAGGGAGGGTCCTGGGATTTTCCCGTGTGAGTCGAACCTACACTTGCAGGCGATCAGGGTTGATATTAACCTGAAGACATGACAATTTCTCTGACAGACCTATGATCAGCGCTGATCTCTAACTAAAGACACGGAGGAAAAGGTGAATTTTCACATCACTTTTTTGTTTGCGGATGCTGGATCGAAACTCAGTGGAGGAATTTGACTGAACAGGTTTAATGTGATGTTACTAACTGCTGGAGACACAAGACAACTGGCTGAGTTGCGAAGCTGACGAAAAAACCTCTTCTTACTAGGATAAAAAAGATTCCTGAAGATTTACCGGTGATATTTGGCAGGTAAATTTTAATTACATTACATTTAAATTTTCTGTAAATGTAGCTACAAAGTATGTCGCATGTAATTGATAACGTTTTTGTGATCTATGGGAACATGTTGGAGCTTCGGATTCTGCAGTCAATAATCAGTTAATCATTTAGTAGCAGTTTACAAAGCTGCCAGTTTGCTTCTCAAGCTGTTTGTATGTTTCAATTAAAAATAGATTTTGGGACTGTACCTAGTTCTGAATGCATTTGACTCAATCGTGCACATGAGCCCACAGTGTACAGTGCTGGCACGCTTTTACGCCCCCCCGCCACCACCCCTCCTTTTTTATGGATGCGTCTTGGTGACTTCGTGCGCATACCTGAAAAATGCTTGCGTGTTCTCCATGTTCCCACTGGGAAAATGTTCAGGCACGTGTGAGTACGCTCTATATATATATATATATATATATAGAGAGAGAGAGAGAGAGAGAGAGAGAGAGAGAGAGAGAGAGAGAGAGAGAGAGAGAGAGAGAGCTATATCTATCTATCTTTTTTTTCCACTGTGCAGCATCCAATAAGAAGTTGCTTTTTTTTTTAAAAAAGAAGAAGCTGAAAGCAATACAAAAATAATAATGAGGATGATGATGATGATAATAATAATAAATCTGTCACAACACTATTTTAAAGGTGACTGGTGTAGACCAGAAATATGTTAAGAAACTAGTAAAGTGTGTATATTATATATATATATAATTTTTAATTCAGTTATTATAGTGCCAATAAACAAACCAAAAAACAAACCAAAACAAACAAAATAAAAACCACTCTCGGACTAATAAAGGCTTTCTTATTTTCTTATTATTATTATTATTTTTGTTTTTCAGTGGTTGCCACAGCAGATGAGCGCTTGATTTATCAAAGATTTTATGCTGGATAGGCTTCCTGACACAGTCCCCCCAATTATTCGGGCTTGGCACTGGCATTAAGAGTACATTAGCTTGTGTTCCCTGAGTTTGTGGCTACATGGTAACCTCTAATAGTTAAGCGGCTAACATTAATTTGTATCCTGGCCAGGTAAACATTTATAACAACTGTTAAGAACTTCTTGTTCAAACAGGAGCTTTACTGACTTCTCAAAATTCCTTCTAAAGTGTTGTTCATAATTGTGAATGCCAACTACTGTTAGTGAGAGGAGGTGCTGTGTGCCTGACTGTCTACACAGTGTTGTATTTGTCTCACCTGGAGGAAGCAAAGACAGCACTATTGGTATTGATTGTGTTATGAAAAAGTATCTAATCTGATATCTGTTAAATTTTAATACTGGTTAGTATCTGAGAATAATATTTTGACAATATTACGATTGTCTGTTGTTCTCCAAATACAAATTTGTCAGATTTTCCAAACTGGTGTTGTTCTTTTCTCTATAGTCTAAATGTGGTGTACTTTATTGTCTTTAGAACAACAACAGTGTCCATCACTGTCACAAGGGCTCCCAAATGGAATACTAGTTGTTTCATCTGGAGAAGGTGAAGACTACTCAGTGTTGCTTATCTTTGTATACGCACTTGTCTTATTTGTAGGTTTATCCCCCAGAAAGAAATCTGCTGGCCTCTCAGCTTGCCTAGGTCCAGTTATTGTTAACCAGAGACAGATGGATAAAACGGAGTTAGCTACAAGCAGAGGTGGGTAGTAAGAGCTACGTTTACTCCGTTACATTTACTTGAGTAAGTTTAAAAAAAAACAAAAACTTTTTAAGTACCTTTTTTGCACGATACTTTTTACTTTTACTTGAGTACAATTATGAAGAAGAAACGGTACTTTTACTCTGCTACATTTGCAAAATTTG